TCATTATATTTATTTTGAATCAGCGATCATATCATAGTAAAAATTTTTATCATTGGGATTTGGGCTCATGTTTTTGGGATTTGGGAGTATGTTTGAGATTTGGAATTTGGGATTATATTTGAGATTTGGGATTACATTTGGGTTTCGGCAAAAGCCCAAATCCCGATCGAAAACTGCCGTAAGTCCCAATCAGTGCCGAAAGTATTTGGGTCCCATCACTAGTTTGGACACTTTGGACGTGTCCGAAAAAGCTTTGGACATGTCAAAAAGTACAACACTGATTTAAGATAATTAAATTACTTTAACATTTCTTTCACACAAATTAATATAAATTTTTATACCATCAAAGAGAAATTAAAAACTTAATTTCAACCTAAATATAATTTTCACGCTTCAAAGCGAATTTGATTGATATACATTTGACTTTGATGCTAACTTTTGGGTCTATTTTAATACAAAAATTATAAAATTTTTAGGGTCTTTTTCGTAGGTAATAGATTCAAATTATTATCCAAAAAGTCAGCATCAACCGTGACAGAATTTTTCTACTAATACTATTTTTAACTGATAAAGAAAGAAACTTTGAAGAAAATTATTTTACACTAATAAACAATTTTGTGCACCCTTAAAATGTTATTAATTATTATTTTGAGTACGTTCTTTGATGAGGACTCCTGAAATTCGTTGTCAAGCAGTGTATTAATGATTCTTATATTTGTGTACTCTTACGTAGTTAGTTTAGTTTTAATCGTTATTAACTGTATATTGCCAAAGGTGATAAAAGATTTTGTATGCTAAGGGTAGTCATAGATATTGCTAATATAATTTTAATAGTAGCTTACCCCAAGTAAGACATCTATATTAATTAGTAAAATAATGATAAGATGTCTTTGACCCTCCTTCAGAATATTACGTAATATCTGTGATCTCCTAATCTATCGAACTAAATTAATCGTAATCCTGGCCAAAATTATGTCGAAATTTAAAGTTTTACAAAAAAAATCGTTAATCTAAAAAAGAGATAACACAATTATCCTTGTACTTAAATAAATTTCTACAATTTCATTTTGGCTCAAAATATTTGTCTCAGTACTAAGTACGAGTTACCACATTAGTAATTACTATTAAAATTATGGTTTTTTTTTTTTAGAGTTTATCGGGCAAATATTAAAAAACCGTGCGTGAGAATAGTAAAAAGTCAATTATATGGCTGCCCAATTGGACTATGGTGGGAAATTTGTCTATCTTCGAAGAGAGAGTAACTTAAAGTAAGGTGTACAATACTGCGAAAATACTGTAATCCTAGTAACACACATATTTTTTGTGTGTGATATGATATGCCTTAATCATTCAGTTTCATAATAACTGATGAAGCGAAATGATTAGTGCATCTTTTCTTTCATGTTTTTTATGTGACATAAAAAAAAAAAAAAATCAGTGAAGCAATAATCAAAACACGTCCTTACAATGACTTATGATTCAAAGGTAAGACAAATAACCATTAAAATCAAAATGAAAGTTCATTACCTAAAAGGAAAATGAATGTCTCAATGTTTATGTTCTACATAAAGCTTTATGTTAAACAAACCCAAAATCAGGCAAGGATTTTCTTCTTAAACTGTAAATTACTATGATTGTATCATTTCAAAGGATACTGATGCCGGTACCCGATATTTGTGAACAAATATAAATAAAGAACTAGCGATAGCAAAATTTTTATTTATACAAAATCATTCAAGTAAATGGTTTAGCGTTAGAAAATCTTCATGTTATTGAAAATTGATACCCTTCCAGGGAGTCCAATTTTTTGTTCTTAAATGTCACTCCTCTTATCAATATTATACATCATATAATGAAATTAATGACATGTCAGACACGCGATTTAAGAATTTAGAATCCTAGAATTTTCATATGAAGCCTTTCAATTTTAATGTGCAGCATTGATAATAAAAATTACAGGTCCTATTGTGACTTTTTAAAATAGACAAGTCGAAAGTGGCACACGCTAACACTTTTTCGGTTTTCCGTGTCATGCCATGCGCCACAAATTTTCATGTATATTTTTGTTGATCTTTCCCCGCCTTTTAATAAACTCGTTTCATTTCTTTGAACAAAAAAAAAAAAAAAACTATCAAAAAAATGAAGGAAAGCGCTGTTTTTATAGCAAATTTACATGAACAAATTATTGAAAAAAGTCATGTAGATTTTTATGATTATGATAAATTTTCGGAAATTGAGCATATTGGTCCAGGACCTTCTGGAGAAACTTTTCGTGCTGATTGGAAATCTAATGGAATTACCGTAATGTTAAAAAAGTCGATGGGAAATATTGGCACTGATGATAAATCTGTCATAGATAAATTTATTAGTGATGTAATTTTTGTTTTTTTCGATAAATCTCTGTTAAAATATTAAAAATGAACAATATGAATAACATTTAACTTTGTTTGATGCCTTTGAATTAATATAATGCGATTTCTGTATATTTATTTTTTATTTTTATTTTAGTTGGAATTATATAAAAAAGCTCATTCTCATCCTAATATTTTGAAATTTTATGGAATTACCCATAGTATGTTTTTTTTTTGTTATTATTAAATTAACTTAATTATATGTTCAATTTCTTTTTTCTATTTTAATTCTTAACAATAGATATATGTTCTAAAAAATATTTTTTGATATTTGAATATGCGGATGGTGGTACTCTTCGTCAGTATCTTCAAAAAAATTTCTCTTCATTGTCATGGAATGATAAATTAATTCTTTCCAGGCAAATAGCGAGTGGGATAGTTTGTTTGCATGATAATGATATTATCCTCAAAGATTTGGTAATTATATTTTAATTTTAGTTATTTTATATATATATAAAAACTTATATATATATATATATATATTTTTTTTTTTTTTTTTTTTTTTTTTGTATCATAAACTAATTCTCTATCTTTCAGAGCTCAAGTAAAATACTATTGAAAAATGGTGCGATAAAAATATCAGATTTTTGTTTATCTAAAAATTTTTCGCAAACGAATAGACGTATTTCCGATGCAAAAAATGATATAGTATATATTGAACCACAAAGTTTAAAGAACATGCAATATAAACGAACTTCTAAATCGGACATTTATAGTATGGGGATATTACTTTGGGAAATTTCAAGTGGTAGACCTCCATTTTTATCATTATCTTCAACTTCATCATTGGCTCAGATACAAATGGCTACTCGGATATCAAACGGTGAACGGGAAGAACCAATTAGAGGAACTCCAAGAGCTTATGTTGAAATTTATAGACAATGTTGGCAGGATGATCCTAAGAAACGTCCCAATATTCATGAAGTACTGGAAAAACTTCAAAATGTCGAAGTGACTACTAAAAAGAAAAGTAACGATAATATTTCAAATAATTCGAAACCAAGAATTCGAAGAGTTTCCTCTTCTTCTTCTGGAGACAAAATTCCTGAAATTCAGATTTCAACTACTGGAAAATCTAAAAAATTGGGCACAATAAACACTGAACTGAGTAATTCAGTTTTTAATGGAAGGAAGCCACCACACTCAAGAAGTAATTCGTTTCACGAGAGCTTATCAACCCCAACCACCCCAACTTCTCCAGGAAATAATAAGAAAATAATTGAAAATACTGATTCTGTATTCCTTAAAGATTTATTAAAATTTTTTGCTGAAATATTAGAATTAAGTGGTGATTCCACTGCGATGATTTCTAATATTAAAGATTATTTGCATAATCGAATGAGAGAACATAAATCAACTTTCAAAACTTTGAATCAAAATAAGGATAATCCTCAATTCGGTCCAATCATAGGTTACTTTTACGAGAATTCAATCGGTACTGTTCAAGACAAACAAGCTGCTTTCTCTTCTTACAAGAAATCTGCTGATAGTGGTGATCCAATAGGTCAATATTTTCTTGGTAAATGTTATCAGAATGGAAATGGTGTTACAAAGAATGTGACTCGAGCTATAATGTATTATAAACTAGCTGCTACTAGTGGGTATTCTCTAGCACAAAGTAAGATTGATGGGTTGTCAAAACAAAGACGACCATCATCTGTTTTAAAAGTTGGTGCAAAATAATTTATAGTATTGTACGTTTAATATGTAATTATTTTCTCAAAAATTATTTTCAACTTTATTTTTAGTATTAGATCATTTTAGTTCTTATTATATTTAGAAAAAAAATTTTATTTTCCAGTTCGATACGTTAAGTACCAATACACTCTGTACCTTTCATTATCTTCTGTGTAAAATACTTTTAGTTACAAAAAAAAAAAAAAAAAAACTCATAGTTGTAAATAAAGAACATTTTCATACTCTTTGTAAAATTATTCATATGGTCTTTCGATAATAAGAAATTATATCGACACTTTTGTTTTGAAATCAATGAAAATGTTTATTAAAATTTGCCGCCAAATTTTATATTCTATATAATTCGTTACTAGAAATCGTTTATTCTCTCTTGAAAAAAAAAAAAAAAAAAAATTCTATAAATAAGTCTTCATAGTTTTACGCCAAAAGTAGAGGTGAGCAGGTGAGCAGGTGAGCAACGTATAATGCAATACGCATTATGCACATGTACTGTATATATGGATTGCATAGACATTAGTTAACAATGGAAATAAATTCCATTGTTAGTTTAATTTATAAAAACGCGATTGTCATTAATTTTACTTGTGATAGTCTATTACATTTTATAAGTAATACGTATATCAAATTTATTCGTAGAAATAGTAGCTTTTTGTATAAGTTTATGTCAATTATTTTAGTTCAGACAATACTGTAATAAAAGATATAAATGGACTTAATGCTCATCGCGACCAATCAAATTGCGGATAAAAAAAATGCGAAAAATACATATCTTGGTTTAGTAATAAAAAATGTCAGAGGACGATTCTACCTATAAAACCTTCTAACCTTAGCCTAATCCTAACTCCAACTTTAATTAAACTTCGTGATGTACCTGGCTTTAAGTATTTCCCATAATCAGTAGTTAACTAACACTAAATTTTATAATTAGCCGATCTACTAGTCGATTTTTAGTTGATCGATGACTAGTGATGCAGGGGAATTATTTCTACAAATGTAGAATTAATCTACATTCTACAAGTGTATTCCCCGAAAGTCATTTTATTAGAGATGGCAACATATTATTATTTATTATTTTTAATTATTTTCTATAAACAATTTTTTACGTAATAAGTAATAATAAGTAAATAATTATTATGTATGCAAAATTTAACTTGATCAAATTATTGAGTTTAAAAATTTACTCTTCAGATTACATTTAAAAATCGTAATAAGTAATAAGTTAAACACAAGATATAAGTATATTTAAATTTTATTAAAAGTAAGATTTGAACTTTAGACCTTTTGTATAGCAGCCTGGTAATCTAAACAACTTTACTAATATTATCAAACCTATTAATATTTTTTTTAAATCATTAAAATAAAACTTATTAATAAAAATTTTCTCAAATATTATAAAAATTTAATATATTATAAATTTTATTATAATAAACAAATTTATTCATATATAAAAATTAATTTACTTAATAAAATTTAAAGTTATTTATAAAACTAATATTTTAATTTAATTATAAAAATTTTTAATAAAAATATGTTTATAGTTAAGAAATAGTTTAATTAAGAAGTTTTTTTTATAAATTTAAATATTACTTTATACAAATTTAAATATCATTTTGTATAGATTTGCTTTTGAAAAGTATATATAAAAAATTATTTTTATAAAATTTAATTATATAAATATAGATAAATATTGTTAATTTTTTTTTCCTTTGATAGTCATGTTATAAACTTTATTAATTTGTTAACTATAGCTATAGCCAAGTTATATATAATTATATAATCTATTTAATTTTCTAAGCTTAACATCATCTAACTGCTCCTAGAGTACTCAAATATAACCAGTTACACTTGCTATATAGCTAAAACTATTTGGTCTAACTAAGTTAAAGAAAACTCTACTAATTTAATTCTCCTCTTTTTATTTCTTTTTTTACTACTCTTTTCACTAATGCTGCTATTCAATTTTTTTTCCTTACTTTTTCCTTTTTCTTTTCTGCAAGCAATACTCTTTTTTTCTCATCAGTTTGAGTTCTCACTTTTGGTTCTTTTTTCCTGATTTTGTCTCTTTTAAGTATATTTATAATTTCTTTCTGCTTTTTCTATTAGATTATCTTTTTATATCACTAGTTCTATATTATTTCTGCAAAACTTTTTTGCATAATAAAAATGATACTATCTATTCATATTTTTATTATATTTTTTTCTTGAGCTAGAGTCTACAGATCTTTAGCTATTTTCTTTTCTTCGAGTTCTATTAGTAACTTTTTCTTTCTTTAGTATCTGCTTTCTTTCTTTTTTAGAAAAATAACCTCTTTAATTTGTATTAGAAGGAGTATATTTGTATTTTTTTCAGCTTGAACCTTACTAATATCTTCTAATACTACTTTTTCAATTTCTTCTCAAAACTTTTGCAAAGTGAAGCACCTTATTAAATAATTAAAATTCTCTAGAATTTCTTTTTTATACAAGATACAAAAGTCTTTTTGGTATAGTTTTTACTTATACTCCTTTAGCTTGTTAAGTATTAATAGACTATTTGTTAAGTATTTGACTTGTATAATTAGGCTTTTGCTATTTTTTATCAATAGGCAATTTATTTCTCTTTATTTTTTGATTCTTTGCTATAGTCCTTTATAATTATACTTGATACCTTCTACTAGATTATCTTTTCTTTAAAATACCTACTCTATATTATTATATCTTCTTGTCAGCTTGGTTATAAAGAATTTAACTAAGCTTTCTATTCTATTTGATCTCTATACTATGTTATAGTCAAAAACATCACTTTTAACTATGTTTAAGTTAAAGAATATATATGATTTCCTTTTCTTCTTTGCTAATTGATTTGCTTTATTGTTTTATTCATTATTAGCATAGCTTTTAACTTTTTTAAGCTTGAGCTTTATATTTTTTTGCTTAACAAGAATTGCTATTTTTTCTAAGATTATTCTGTTATCTATTCTAATTTATTTATTATACTGTTTAGTATTTTAGGCTTTTATTTACTCTTAATTACTTGTTCACTGTCTATAAGAACTCTAACTATTATATTATATTATACTAATAATAATACTATTCAAATTTCTAATATTTCTGCTTTAGTTAATATTAGCTAGTTAATAACTCTAAAATTTCTTATGCTAACTATACTACTATCTGCTCTATCTATTCCTATTTATCCTATTCTTATAATTTCCTTCTCTTCTCCTTTATTCAAAGACCTGTCTATATAAAATTCTATTTTTTCTCTTCTCTTTAAACTTATCTTTTATACTTTTCTTTTTAACATTATTAATAACTCTATATTGAAGTTCTTTGCTTCTATTATTTCAAGCTTATATTCTTCAATTACTTTTAGATTAGCAAAAACTTATTCATTTTTCTTAGTTTCTTAATAGTTATTATTGCTTATAACTATTAATTTTTGTGAAAAGTCTATTAAACCTGTCTTTTGCTTATATAGTTTTTTAAAATTACTTCTAAGACTTTTCTTTTTAGTTGTCAAGCTCTATACTTATTATATACTCTTTCTTTATTATTTAGATAGCTTTTATATTTTTTTATTTTTTTATACTTTCTTATATTTTCTTGATTTTCTAGTACTCTACTAGCATATTGTCTTCTTTTTTCTTTGTATATATTCTATTTTCATATTTTTACTATGACTATCTTTATAAATGACTTACTTGTATTTCTTTTTATTAGCTAAAATTCCTTCAAACAGATTTTACAATTTTAAACAGTTCTTTATACCTGTCTTATATTTTTCTTTTACTTCTTTCTTCTCTTTACTAACTAGCACTTTTCTTCTATTTCTTTGTAGTATATTGCTTTTTTACTTTTTTTTAATTTTTTTTAATATTTTGAACTATTGCTATATTACTAAATAAGAGTCTTCTATATTTAGAATTTGCTTAAGACTATTATATCAAGATTATAGAGTACCTTTGTAGCTTTAATAAAAGTTGTTTTCTTTATTAAATTTTTAATAGGAGTATTGCTTATTTTAAAAACTCAAAATTTCTTGCTAACTATTATTTTTAAATCTAAGTTTAGATTATTCTGAATAACAATATTTGCTAGATTATTTTTAAGCAGTTTTCTCTCTATTTTATCTAGTTTTTTAGCTTAAATACTATTTATATAGCATGTAATTTGTTGTTACTACCTTATTCTTATTTCTGTAATATCTTTAACTTTATTATTTTTGTTTAATCTATTTATAAGACTTAGTATTTGTTTAGGCTTTAGAGTATTCTATAGCATTCACATACTTAGAATACTACTATATATTATTACAAAGTTTGAAATACAGTCAGACCTCTATATAATCGCTAAGTTAGTTATACTCTAATTTGGTGATTATATAGAAATATGAATATAACCAAAATACTAAGTTATAATTACATGATTACTGACTAATTAAAATTATTTTTTGTTATTAAGGCTACTTACTTAGCTAATTAGATTTTATTAGTTTGTTATTATAGAACTATCATATGAATAGTTTTCTAAGGTTTTATAGTTATCTGATGAGTATACAATAAGCCATATATATAACTTTAGTCATTGTCTAATTTAAGTAGTCTGCTATATAGATGATTAACTATCTGTTGGTTCTACACTATATTGCTATACATGCAATCTACCTGTTAGTTACCTATTTAAATACTCTAATTATTAATCCTTCCAAACTAATATCACTACTATAACTAACTGCTTAAGCCAGCTAGTTCACTTGTAGATCTATTCTCTACACAGCTTAGGTCTTTTCGAGATACATATACCCAATATATTGTGAGCTACAGAGCTCTAGTTAACCTTAGAAGTAAATCTACTAGAGTGGTCTATATCTATTTTATGGATTCATCTAGTTTAGACCCTTATAAATATTTGTACAACCACAGTTCTTACTGTAGCTCTCCACTAGTTTTCTGTATTTATCTTCTTGAATATTTCATAAAGCAGATTCCCCCAATCTAGTTAGCCAC